TCGTTCGAGACATAACAGATCAAGTGCAGTGATCACCCTATTGGGCCGCCCATTTGCATTGATTTCCAGTGGGTGGCGAGTGCGGTGACAAGGGGAGCACGCTGTTCGATTTTTCGGATTTGTCTCGACTCTTTTTCTGCTTCCGCTCTCGGCTGTTCGATGATAACATCGTATCGATAATATTTCTTTTTCTTTCTTGGTTTTTCAAGTGACTGGTTCAGCCTTGATCGTTATTTTCTTGTGTCTTTCTCATTTCAACTCCTTTTTCATTCTCTTTACTTCTTGAACTTCTCTTGCAATCTCTCCCTTTCCTCCCTCTCCCCCCTCCCTTTTGATAGATAAAAGGCAATCAGAATCAGACGGGACCTAAGAAAGAGCATAGTTATTTCATGAATTTTTCTAACAATAAGCGGGGTAGCGCAGGGAAGGAATGGTAGCCGCCTTCGTATAAACCTTGAGACCATCTCAGCAAGAGGAATAGTTTTCAACCTAAGTTTAGAAAGGAATCATCTGGATGGGTTGGATGATTACCTAGGGCAAAAAGTAGAGAGGAGATAAAAACTGAACATTAAATCAATGCACCCACTCTGATGCTCTCTCCATCCTAAGGTTTGAGGAAATGAGTGTATTCCTCTAGCTAAAAAGCCTTCTGATGGGTGCATTATTATGGGTCGCGAAGCCGGTTAGCCTCTTACATCTCTGCTATCTAGCGGTCACTATTACGGGTGAGGGGTGCCACCTTCCTCCAACTATTTACATTATCACCCTTGAAAGTCATAATCATTTCTGTTTGGGACTGGCTGCAATACTGAGGAGACGAGCAGTGGTACTAGTTAAAATCGGCGCCCTCACTGCATTTCTCAGCCTTTTTCACAGATGATTTGTAAGCTTGTGAAGGAGCTCTTTACTCCGAAATTGCATGTTTCAGATTGGATTCGCTGCTGGCCGTCCACCTAACTATGCCTACGAGGATCGTGCTCACGAGATTGCCCTCCACAACAACGGAAGTTTCAAAGTTTTAATCTAGTGGAGAGAAAACACCTAACTACATTTGAGGACTCTGCGACTTCATGAAGGTTCGTTAAAGCATTTTTCATGGCGATAACTGTGATTGTAGGTGGGTCCGATCTGCTCCAGTCAATTAGATGTACTACGCTAATCACTGGTGCTCTCGATTATCGATAGTGCGTATGCGATAAGAACTGGCCGGTTTTTGAGGTTGGACTGGAAGGAGTCTGATTCCGACGTGACTGAGACCAGCTGAACGACAGTGATGCAGTTGTCGTGTTGCAAACGACGGGGTATTCTCTGCTTTACTGCTGCGCCATTGAAATTGCTGGCATCAGCGATGAGCACCATCGCTTTCTACCGGTCCTATGAGGTCCTATTTCTTTCAGGCTCCTGCTAAATAGGTTTGGCAAAGATTGCAAAATGGGGCAATTGTGTCGGAATGGGTGATGCTGTAGGATTTGGACTGTACCCTGGGTTCTTCATCACTGCAAACTTTGCAAGAGTCGGTGAAATGATGGTCATTATTCCATCACGCGGTGACCAATTTTTCTCTTTGCTTTCGTGGGCTCACATCTTTTGATCAGTCACATGTCCGGGGAAAAAGTTCGCAAATGAGGTGTGGTGTTTCTATGTGGTAGCTATATTATCACATATTCTTTGTCCTCTGTAGTCCTGCTGTGAAGCTTCGTGAGTGCTATGCCTCTAATGCTCCGGGCTGATACTTCCTGATTGACGATCGAAACAGTAGCGAGGCAATGATGAGAGTGGGTACGAACTTGGCCTGCAGAATACAACCATCTGAATGCGGCGTAAACTGTATGTGATATGACATTAGCCGATGTGAAGCAACCACGGAATCCCAAAATTTCATGACTCCAATCAAGCCCAGGCACCAGCTCCGGCCGCAACATTGCTTGTTCCCATGTGCGTTGGTAATACCATGTGAATCCATCTATTCATTCAATACTCGGAAAGGCGGAAATCCGTGTGATGCTTGAATCAGTCGATAAATCAAAGAGTTGAGAAGAATTCTTTCGTTTCTCTCCTTCCCACCAATGCGGAGCCCTTTCCCTCACGCAATGAAAGGTCTGTTTGTTGAACTTTGAACTTTGATATCTGGTTCATCTAGGGATGCTGGGCATTTCCCGATAAGTCAAACACCGAAGTTCAAAGTTCGATGTCTATGGCACATCGTCTGTCCGTTTAAGAGTTTCGATCGATCCATTTTTACCATTCCACTCATGTTCCTTTTAATTTTCCTGCCTTGACAAGCGGTGCCACTTTTCACTTCCGTTTTCGCCTAAGTAGGAAGTGAAAGGAATCAGTCGGGTATTTTTCACAGCGCATCGACACTCACTTGGACGAACCCGACTGGTTGAGTCCCCAAGTGTCTGTTAGATTGTTGGGCTGCGTCTTCCTTTGGAAACACTGTTAAGCGGTCCCGGTAAGGCTCATCTTGGGATGCTCTCTCTTTAAGTAGAGTGGTATCGGAACGTTGTTGGTTAGTATCGATGGCTATTATTAACGTTAATACGAAATACTTCCATTCCTACCGTTAACATCTCCTAAAGAAGCTTTTCTAACCTCGTACAAACACCCCTACCTTAATCCTCTCCATTCACTCCCCTCACTATTTTGGGGAGCTGATGACTATGGGAAGCTCACTACAGTATGGTAAAGAACTTATATGTTAGGCACTTATTAGTCCACATGTCAGCCATCTTCCTGCAAGTGCTATCGGTGTGTTAAACTGGACTGGTTCTGAATTGGGAGCAGATCATTTTTAGTAATCATTAGGGATGCTAATGGTTTCTAAGCGACGGAGCAGATTTGGCCGTACCTGTATTGCTTAGTTTCGCCAGAAGCATACTTGACCCTATATATTTCATAGCATTTCAGTTCTTACACTACAAATATCGCCGATAATTTACAAAAACTTTTTTTTNTTTTTTTTAGTTCTCTCCAAACGAGCATCAATTAAGCTTGGAGAAGTAGTGGCTATAATAAGGTTCTGTATAGAATCTACCCGATTTGGTGGAACGCCGAGCAAACCAGATCCATGTCGAGGCAGTGGTCGAAGGATCCTCATTCGAAGCACTCCAATACGGGAAGCATCTTCTCAGAATATGGGTACAAATGATCTTATATTCTTGAGCGTTCTGGGCAGCGTTTCTCGCTTTTAATCATTTAAGGCACAGTTCACGATAACACGGGATATCTATTTTTGGACGACTAATGGAAGTGCTAGTCCAGAATAGTGCAAGTGGCAAAGAAAATTTGGCGTGTTAGAGTGATACAGGGCTTTAAGGAGGATTAAAATTCGGGGTTGGACGAGAATGTGACTATGGCAGTTGTAGGGGGCGTTTGGACGAGCTGTTCATTGCATGCAGCTTGCTACAATAAGTTGCTACGTGTAAGGTGTGGGTCCCGTTGCGCATAGTGTGATCTCTACAGAACGCTCAATAACTAGCTGAGTGTGCACTAAGTTGTAAGGCTCTTATCACGTTCTATCTTGTCGTTTTTCGACCTGATAGGGTCCCCCAGGCTTTTGGGGATTACGGGTTCCTTAAGGGGAGAAACCTCAGGAGAAGGCTCCAACGTGAACTGTGCCTTTAACTTTGAATAGCTTTTTGCGTATTTGGGGGAAATCGGGAGCCTCATTTTGCAAAGCAGTTTTTTCTGTTACAAATTATTCGAGGCACGTTGCACGTACGCTCGTTCTGCCGTGGTTTTTTGACCTTTAGATTCTTGAGTTGAATTTGCAGTCACACTGACAACTGAAGAGCCCCTAGATCGAAGAGACCATTCGTGGTGTGACTTGGTTCACGGGCTAACCTTGGAGACTGGTTTCGGATCTGCCTCTCCGAGTTGGCAAAGGGGAGTATTGAGGAAACTTGTGATGATGCTTTCACCTCAGCTTTTGCCCCACAAAGGAATGGGTGGAATGTATGTCTGTTTTATCAACAGTAATCAAAATCGTGAAGCGATGGTTTAGTGGTTAGTGGGTTGTATTTGAATGTAGAGTGGCTTGGGTCTCTTGTGGTATAGCCTCCTCGATTCTTTCGACATATTGTTTGGGATGGGATCTACATAGTTCATGAATGCCCAACTGAAGCTAAAGTTCTCTTCGAAATAATGCTGACTTTTTCGTTCGCAAACTGTTACCAGACATTGCTCGATGGATAAGTTCACCTGGCCCCACATTATGTCAAAAAATGGCTCTACAGAAGACAACTCAGCCCGAGTAATACTATTTTCAGAGCAGCTCTTGTAATGGTTGCAACCAAAACTGTAGTCTGACCTTGTCGTATGTGTGGGGGGAAATGGCCGTGTATCGCGGTTTAAAAGTTTTTGTGAGAAAGTCAAATTGGGTATTCCTGGGTAAGCTCTACTATGAGAATGGCCCGATTTCCACTGAGTGGTTCAGCCAAGTATTTTTTCTGCAGTTGGCACATGTTTTCCCAGTAGACGGAATGTAAGCTGGCCGCTCGTTTCATCACTACTCTCGCGCTGCATACTACTACTGAGTCCTTTCGTCTTGTCTTCTGCGGCGTCGGCTCCTCAGATACAACCAACACAGTTCCTATCTGAGGATCGTTCCCCGATAATGAAGAGCAGTTCAGAAACCAGAGTTCAAGGGCACGTTTTCTATGTTGCAAGGAAAATGGTCACTTCGACTTGGGGCCTTTTTTTGTGAGTAGCGGACTGCAGAACTGATGTTGTTCAATTGATTTGTGGTCTTTGTCATTATTGATTTGTGTTTGATGATTATAAAGATTTTTTCCGTCGTGGATCTTGGAGACAGAGTCTGCTCAGAGTGTTCTAAATTCAAAATTCGAGGAGGCTCTGTCTTCAAGACCGCCGTTTTTCTTTGATGTGATATTGCACTTGTATTAGGCTTAGGCAAGGGTGAGTGAGCTGAAGTGAATGCGTGCATGAAAGTGTGTGAACTTACTTCTGTGTGTTTTATGAGATGCAAGGTCAGAAATACGGTCAGATGAAGTTAAAGGTTGGGGTTGAAAGGTAGGGTCAAAGCTTGTTCTCTTTTGAATGCCGTCTTTGGTTACACCATATCTTTAAGGAGGGAAACGTTTCTCTTAAGGGGATCGTGCTAAGGATGGGGTAATGGGGTTCGGGCTGGTTATTCCTTCACAGGAGACACGATTCAGTTAGGTCAAACAGAAGGTGCTTGAAGTTGGTTCTTTCATGAAGTACGGGAAGGGATTCACTTTCGCGATACCTGGGAGGAAATGTTGTGGTGAGAGATGAGGGGTGGGGGGAAGGGCATGTAGTAAATGCTTGAGAGGACTTTAATCTGAAAGTGGGACTCAAGGGATGAAGTCATACTTCGCAGTTTGAAGAGGGAGGAGAAGGGGGG